GAGTGGTCTGAACCGAATTAACCGTCAAAAAGTACACATATATTAATTATATTTAGTTTTCATGTTATATGCTCAACTTTATTGCATAATTAAAATAAGTTCGTCCAAAACTTTATGCTTTTAGTTTCTATTTCTTAATTGACCACCTCATCTAATTCGACAAAATTTTGAATTCCGCAAAAAATCAAATCAAAATTCCATATCATCATTCGACTTGCTCAATATTTGTTCAACCACCTACTCTTAGTGTATTTCTTTAACATTTTTTCAACTTGTTTTTTTTTTTTTAATTTATAGAGATAGATATGTATTTTTTTGTAATTCGGTTTTTTATTCTTTTAATAATCTTATATTTGTAGAAATTTTATTCTGAATATAAATGTTATGTTTTTTTTTAGTTTAAAGCCCATAAGATGTCCAAACCGATGCCCAAACTGACTAGGCCGGTCGGACCAGACCGTATTTTTGTGGTTCGTTTTGACCGGTTTGGTACAAATATGAGTGATTTACAAAAGATCGTTTCCACACACACACACACACACACACATATATATATATATATATATATATACATACATACATAGGGGAGCGTTCAAATAAAAACCATCGAATTTGTATAAACCATGAAAACCACATTCAACCAATCATAATTTTTCATTTTGTTCATTTTTTTGTAATTATGAGAGGTTGATTAACCATTTTTATTGTAGAGGGTGTTAATCATGGATATTATCGTCTTCATTATTTTAATTTTAGAGAAATACATGAAACAATTTCATTAAAATTTCATTAAATATTATATGAAACAATTTCATGAAAAAATTTCATAAGATTAAACAATGAAATGAACGTATGAGGGTGGTTTGTACGGTTTACACAAATGAGGGCGGTTTTCATTTGATCGTTCCTCTACATATATATACATATATAGAGAGAGTTTGGTTCAAATACTAACCAATTTTTTTGTGTTAACTATGTTAACCAAGCTCAACCAATCATATTCCATCTTTTTCTTTGGTTCAAATGTAACTCATATATTAAATACAAGGGTATTTAAGTAATATATGAGTCATTTTATGTAACTCCCAAATAATTAATTGGGAGTTACAAATCTGAAAATATCACAATTGATCATGATGCAATACTGATATTGGTGTTTCACACGTGTTCATGTTCTATAATTCGCATTTATTTCAATCGACAGTTCTCACATTTGACATATGAACACATTAGAAATCACACAGCCTTAGATGTCGTGATTCATAAGTTTTCATATATATTCAAGTCACTAGATGTTCATATGAGAACACACACACACACAGAACATGTGAAAACATGTGAACACGTATGAAAACACATAACCCTAGATACATTGGTTCATAGGTGTTCATGTACATACAGCAGAATTGGCTCCTGAATATACAGAAGATGTTCATACGGTTCACATGTTGTTCATATGTCTAATCTTTTTTGTTTGATGTGGTTTGAAGATATACACAAGTTGTTCATATGTCTGACAACTCGTGTATCAAAGATTGATTACTTTTTACCTAAATACCCTTTGATATTTTGTTCACATATGTTAATTGAAAATATTAATTTAATAATTAATTTTTAAATATCATTAAATCACAATCGTCTATTATTCAAATTAACGGTCAAGATCGGTTAACAAAGTTAACACGATAATCTTGGTTAGTATTTGAACCAGCCCCTATATAGACACATATATATACATATATATACATATATACATATATATACATATATATATATATATATATACATATATATATATATATATAGTTGGGTTCACATGAGACCAAAGATTTTTCGTGAGACCCGTAAGACAAATTTATATTCATTGATCAACTGTTGGTGAGGTGATGTGGAGAACTCTTTGTAGGATGAAATGTTCCTTCATTTGTGCCATTAAAATATTTTGTCGTGATCAAGAAGTGAAGCAAGTGGTGAGGAAAGTGTTTAAGCATAAGTGGAAAGAGAAACACCAAGATGAGTTGGTGAGGACGATCTCGGTTGAGGAGCATACTGATGTGCTCCAGCAAATTCCACTCATCTCCTGGTAGTAACTAGGATCTGCTGAGTAGCCCATATAGAGCTGCCAGCAACTAGGTAGCTTAAATACGCTTCAGAGTTTTAATATTCCTAAAGATTCTGAAGGAGCTACCAGCTTGCAACCAAAGGTGGCTGGCAAGCATGAATTTGAGTCTGGTTTGCAATCTTTGGATGCTCACCAAGGTCCCAATAATGCTGGAAATCGCGTCTCCACCCTGAGGGTGTTTTCACTAGTTCAAACAATCAAAGAATACCTAAATTTGTTAGAAGGATAACTAGAGCACCCAAGCTTCATAGTTGTGATATTCCTAAAGATTCTGAAGGAGTTGTTATCTTGCAGCCATTGAGTAGCTCATAGGTGGCTGTCAGGGATGACTTTGTGTCTGGTTTGCAATCTTTGGATGCTCACCAAGGTCCCAGTAATGCTAGAAGTTCCGGTCTCCACCCTGAGGGTGTTTTCCCTAGTGCAAACAATCAAGGAATATCTCAATCTGTTAGAAGGATGGCTAGAGCACCTAATTTTCCTCGTAAATTTGATGATTTTGTTGTAGAAGGGAAGGTTAAATATGGTTTAGAAAGAGTAGTGAACTATTCATATCTGAATTCTCAAAATTTATGTTTTGTATCAAATTCGAATAAATCTATTGAACCAAAAACTTTTTTAGAAGCATGTAATGATAAGAATTGGATCACAGCTATGAATGATGAAATGGAAACTCTTTATAGAAATGGGACTTGGGTGGTTAAAGATTTACCTGTAGGTAGAAAACCTATAGGATGTAAGTGGATTTATTAAATTATATATAAATTCACTGGAGAGATAGAAAGGTATAAAGCTCGGTTAGTTGCAAAAGGGTACAATCAAAGAGAGGGTCTTGATTATGAAGAAACATGCTCACCTGTTGTAAAAATTGGTATGTCTTAGATGTATTGTTGCTCTTGTTGTTTAATTTAATTAGTCATTGTTTCAACTAGATGTTAATAATGTTTTCTTGTATGGTGATTTACCTAAAGATGTTTATTGGATATTACCTACGGGTTATTTTAATCTTGATGATAAGAGTTTGTAATTTTTTTCAAGTCTCTTTATGGTTTAAAGCAAACACTTCGTCAATTATATGCAAAACTCTCTTCTTGCCTTGTTGCTAATGGTTTTACTCAAAGTGTGAATGATTATTCACTTTTTACTAAATATGGTGAATTTGGATTTGTTGTGCTTTTGGTATAAGTTGATGATAGAGTGTTAAATGGTGATAATTTGTTACAAAAAATTAAAGTCAAAGCTTATTTGAAAAATAATTTTATGATTAAAATTTTGGCAAGTTAAAGTTTATTCTAGGAATTGAGGTTCTTGATTTTGATAATGGCATATGTATGTCTCAAAGAAAATATTGCTTAAAATTGTTAAATGACTTCAGATATCTTGGATGCAAGCCTGTTAACATTCCTATGGATATGAACTTAACTGTTACTAACTTTGTTGGGTCTGTTTCAAATGATCCTCCTCTACATGATTATACTGGTTATCAAAAGTTAATTGGTAGGTTAATCATATCTTCTTGCAACTCGTCCTGACATAGCTTTTGTTGTTTATTGTTTGAGTTTGTATATGCACCCACCTCGTCAGGCTCATCTTAATTTGGCATTAAGAGTTCTCAGGTACTTGAAGTCTTCTCCAGGAAGAGGTGTTAGTTTTACAAGATCAAAGTTTGTTTTGTATAATAGCATATGTTGACGCTGAATAGGGTAACTGTGTTTCTTCAAGACATTCTATTACAGGTTACTGCTTATTCTTAGGAAACTCTATGATTTTTTGGAGAAGTAAGAAGCAGTATACCGTTTGCCGTCCTTCTGCTGAGTCAGAATATAGAGGAATGACATCTGCAACTTGCAAAATAATTTGGGTTTTTAAAATTTTAACAGACTTGAGAATTAAAGATTACTTCATGTAAATTTGTACTGTGACAATAAATCTGCAATAGAAATAGTTTATAATCCTATTTTTCACGATTGCACTAAACATATCGTAATTGATGTTCATCAAGTTCGAAAAAAGGTTAGTGTGGGTGTGTTAAAAATTGTAAAAATTCTTTCTACTAAACAACCTATTGATACATTCACTAAATCTCTTGGAATAAGTCATCACAATTACTTATGTTCAAAATTGAAGTTGATTGACTTATTTAAATGTCAAGATTGAGGGAGGATATTGAATAAACTTTTTATACAATCTTGACATTTATGGGCTTTAGTTTTATGTTTCAGTGTTATTGATGTTAAAGGGTTGATTCAGTAAAGGTGGAAATCGAGAAGGGTTGCGGTGTAGATGCTAAGGGTTTAGAAGGGTAGCGGAGCATGAATGGATAAAGTTGAAGGGCTAAACTGTAACGTCTTGTTATATGTCATCGATCTCCATTAGTTGAGACATGAAACAGTAACATCGTCTTGTTCTAAAGAGTAATTTAGGGTTTTATTTTGCTATTGTAGTACTGTGAGAGAATAGAATATATTTGAGTTTATAATTTTGTACAGTATTGCTATGTGCTTAATCTCCGACAATATTGTATAATTTGTTGAAAATATGCCTACAAAATGAAGAGAATTGACCTGAATGGTTATTTTGAACAACTTCCGCATCAAATGGGTGGAATAGGTATAGGGTTGTGTGCGACATGATGTCGATGCTTTTTACAATTATGTCATGTTGCAACCCGAATTAAATCTGATGTATGATATACTGTTTATTTTATGTATTGGTTAGTATTTTATAATATAATATTAAGGCTCCATAAGATGTATAAACAACAAAAAGAAGAAGATATTTATCTAAAATAAAAATTGAAGCAGGCAAACCGAGGATTGTTGCGGTCTCTCCCTTATCAAAAAAGGGTGGTCTTCTTTCACTTGTAGTTGTACTGCTCTCTATATAATAAGTTTTCAAACATTCACTTATAATATTTCTTTATTCTTTCTCAATAACGTCTTGTCATCCCTTCTCACCTCCTTCTCGCCGTCGCCGGAGCTCCGTTCAACTCCACCGTGTTCCCACACAGAGAATAAAACACCACCCTTCTGTGGTCTCTGTGATTCATCTTCTTTAAAGATATTTGATTTCTCCTTTTTCTTACATCAAACTTCAAAAGAAACGACAACAATTCATCTTCTTTAATTCACCATTTGATTAGGGTTTTCTCCGTTTCTGCTTCATCTTTTCTCTCTCTCTCGAGCTCTTGTTCTTTAGGGTTTTTCTTGGGTGAGAGTGATGGAAGATTACATGGGCCAAATGAGAGAGAACAGCAGCAGCAATAATACAGGCACAACATCCGCAACTTTCTTATACGGGTCGGGTGGAGGATCGGTTCTTGGCCCAGATGCCACTGCTAATACTTCTTTGTATGGAAGAGGAGGAAGCTCTATAGGCAACGAAAGTGATCCTGGAGGCTATCATCATCTTCAATATCATCATCATCATCATCAACATCATCCGGTAGTAAAGATCGAAACTGGGGGTACCCAGAAATTTCATAATTACCCTTCTGTGATGAGTTTCCACAACGAAGATGAAGCTCTTAAAGCTAAGATAATTTCTCATCCTCACTATTCCAACCTTCTTCAAGCTTACATGGACTGCCAGAAGGTGACCTAAATTCATATTTTCTTTAATTTTAACAAACTCATAATAACTAGCGTTTATACAAAATTACTATACATCTTTAGTTTTAATTAAGGTTTTGATTTTAATATGTTCTCTATGTTAGGTTGGAGCTCCACCGGAAATTGTTGGAAGGCTAACGGCGGTACGGCAAGAGTACGAAGCTCGACAACGGGCTAATTTACTAAACAGCGGTTGCAGAGACAACTACAAAGATCCAGAACTCGACCAGTTCATGGTATTGTCAAGATCTGTGAAGTTAACCATACGATTGAATGATGTTTTCTGTGTGTTCGGGTTTCTTGATTTTATGATTGTTTGCTTTTGATACGTCAACATTATACAGGAAGCATATTATGATATGCTGGTGAAGTATAAAGAGGAACTCACAAGACCAATTCAAGAAGCTATGGAGTTCATGCGTAGGATCGAATCTCAGCTTTCAACACTCACCATCTCCACTTCATCCACCAATGCTTCTCCTGGTCGGATCTTTATCTCTCCTGGTAACCCTCGTTTAATTTGCTTCTTTTTATTTGCTAACATCTAGCATTCTTCTTTTTCAAACAAAAAGATTAAATCTTGAAACAATTTTTGATCTACAAAAATAATGGTTTTGGGGTTTGGTTTTGTTTGGCTGAGTTAATAATCAGACATTTATATTTTGTCTGATTTAAATTATATATTAGGTGTAGTATATACTATATAGTACGAAGTGTGGAAATACTAAAAGAAACTGGGAGTTTGTTCACTGTCAAATCCAGCTATTTATGGTAGGACTGTCCAGATTTCGATCATTCATTGGTCTCTTCAGTTGCAGCAGGTTGAAGAAAACTTTGACCCAACTCAGTTACAGACCAAATTCACGATACAAACTACCCACATTCTTTTACTACCACATCTCTCACTCTAGAGTCTAGACTAGAGAGAGAAAGAAAGAGTGTGTCATCAAGTGATGCAAGTAAAAAGGAAACCCTAATTAGAAAATCACGAGTATGTATAGGATAAAAGATTTGATTCTTGTTTTTTATACTTATTTTAATGGCTAATCATTATGTTTACAATATCTTTTAGCACATATATATATATATATATATATCTTTTTATTTATTTTTTTAATAGATTGAAACAAAATTATTCCATAATTGCAGACAAACTATACATACATCATATAATTGATTTAGAACTTAAACCAATAACTATTTACTTCTTATTCTATTAAGAGGGTTGAAGATCGTTGGTAACAGCAATGTCCCAAATTATAAGACATTCGCTATGTTTTAATATATTATTTATATGCCACCAAAACTTGTAGAATGTCTACTGTTTGTTTCTTTTCCTTTTATTGGTTTCTGATTAATACCCTAATTTTTTAGCTGACGTTGCTGTATCATTCTTGGTCGTCCCATAGTTTTTTGTACATATATAAGATCGTTCCTTCCCGAAGCTATTCATATATGCCTCGAGATAATGGAAACATTATTCTGGTCATGGTCTTTCACTTTGTGTTTGTGCGTGTGAGCATTTATGACCCTTTTTTATTTTACTGTTATCTTTGGAGAGATATATATATATATATTTTATGTGGGAATAATTTATGGTAGCTTTGAGGGGGGATTTGAAAACTGGGGTTGGACATAGGATGCTGTTCATTTCAGTGCTACCCCATGTCCATGTTCCCTTTTTGAATTCTTTTCATTTTTATTTCTTTGATTTTTGTTGTCTCATACTACTTAGTGTCTGCATCACCTTTTCTTTTCATATCTCTTGCTTACATCTGTATTGATTGCAGCTATATATATGTATATCCAAATAGTGTTCTTGTTTTTGAATTAATGTGTTGATGAAAATTTGTGTATGATTATATTGACTTACTGCTGAAAGATTTGCTACAGTTTTTGGACTGTGCTCAAGTCAAACATGCTTGTAAGCATTTTGTTAGGTTGGATATCTTTTTTTATAATTATCTTGCTATTATTGTCCTAAACTAATTTCTGTTAGTTATTATTATCTTTTTCTTTATAAAAGTTCCAGGTTCAGTGCATGTATATGTGAGATTTCAGATGTAAAATGACTGTTATGTTAGCTCTCATATTAAGCCAAGATTTATATTAAATCCTATAAAGCAATCTATTAGATGAATTAGACATTTTTAAATCCGATTCTGTTGAAGTGTGGCAATAAAGTCATGCAATAAAGAATAATCTTATCCACCACCAATTAGGTAATTAAGATAGCATAGTTTTGATCTAGGGTCGTCCCTTAGCATGTTAAATGTGAGATTTTGAATAGGGCATTCGAAATTTTGGAGCCCAAATTTACATGTGTTTAGAGTCTTTTTATCGACCTATGTAAAACTATAGCCGAAATTATTTAGGTTCAAACCATTACTTATTTGGTTTTAGGTCAAATCAATAATGGTTTAGGTTTAGATTTAGTTTCAGATTGTTAATCGTTTTAGGTTTAACCTATTTTTATTCTTAACATATATCATCTATCATCTCATTTATGCAATGTAATCAAAAGTTTTGGATGTAGCAGGCCTCCAAAAAGGTTGGAACGTCCCTGTTTTGATCCAGTTATATGATATAGAGTCAAGTAAATTTGTATCTCTTTGTGTTCTTTGTAGCATTTACATCTGCATGCATATCTCCTTCAATCTTGCTCATTTTCTTTTAAGGCATGTACTTGTCCAGAAACAATCTTTATTACGTCCCTCAAACGTTTTGTTTTCCTATCTGTACGTCCCTGCTATCTCTATTGTCATGGCTCTGCCTTATGTCCGAATTCGAAGTTTACTCACACTATAGCAATTCTTAGGGTTTGAGACTCATTATTGAGTGTCTTCTGTGCAACAGCGTGAATCGATCATGAGTCAAGTTAGCTTATATTTGAAAACGCGAAATTGGATTGTATACGGGGGAAGAAGATAATGGGTTAGAATATGAACAAACAACTATGTGTACAAAATAATACGCACAAGTTATTGAGATCATGTTTGACAACCGTAAGCTAGTTATTCTAAAAAACTAATTTTAAGTAGCGTTCCAATAAGTCTCATGTTTATTTTCCAATTACACCTTTTATATTCTTTTTAATGTAAAAGACAAAGAACCCAATATTTTAATGTAACTATACAAAGTCAATAGTTTATCAACTATTTTTTTACCAAACATGACTAATTTATCCGCTAACAAGTAACAACTAACTTATTAGCTAGCAGTTAACTTTTCAGCTAGCTAACTGCAAGTTTATCAATCAACAACTAATTTATCAGCTAGTTTGCCAAACATAGGTTACTGTTATCTCATATATATATATTCGATATATTACATGTGATTATTAGGTATACATATATAATATGTGGTAGATGAGTTAAACTTTCTTGAACATTATTGATCTTGGTGTCTCATGTAGTAGTGTATCTAGTTTGAATAGCTATAAGATTATGATATTACTTTGTTTTCATATATCATTATCACTTTGGGGCTTGAGGTTACATTGGTTTTTTAGTTTATGCCCAAAGGTCTAATTATGAGCATCAATTAGATTTGGATATATAAATCAAGTATTTATGCTTCTCTCTTCAGTGATCCATTCACTTAATTACTACGAAACCGTTCAATCTATTAATTAAGAACAGACATGGAGTAAATTAATAAACGAACCAAGTAAATCTCATACGGAGAGAGATCGACTGATTGGGAAAGGACAACTATTTGATGTTGTTGCTACAATTTTGTAACTCCTCTTTCATCCACTTCACTAAGTTTTGGGTGTGGCAATTGATAATGAATCCACCAAATTTCTTGTGAAATATCTATACTCTCTCTCTCTCTCATGAAATTGTAAGTTGAAATTTACATGTATCTAAGAAAGGTGTTGTTGGAATAATTTAAATCTATGTCAAAAACTCGTTTAGGGTTTCTTTAGTTTGCGAGATTTGGTATGAATTGAAAATCACGGGATGTCAATGAAATCCCATAAACATTGGATTTTAAAAAAATCCCATATGTAATGGTATTCGGTATTTCACGGGATTTCATAGAATTCTGTTTGTAATAACATGTTAAAAACATCCTTTTTGTAATACTCATTTAACTAAGGTAATTTAATTATTTTTATGATTTAGTTTTACAAATTATCTATAAAGAATGGAACTCAATTCCATTCCAAAATCTTATAAACCAAACACAACAAAGATTTCAAATCCTTTCAATTCCAAAACCTTTCATGAAATCCAAGTCTCTCAAACATTCCGTCAAACCAAAAGGTCCTTAATTTAGATTAGTTGAAGAGTAGGTTTAAATATAATTTAATAGGTTAACTTAATAAGTATTAACATGAGATGTTTATAAGTCTCTTTGAGTAGTATAAATAGGAGTCGAGTTGAAGAATGCGAGGGGAACGACGCCAGAGCCAGAAAGGAAAAGGAAAAGGAAAACTACCAAATTCAAAGTGAAATAAAAATCTCGTCTTCTCAATTATTTGACCCTACGAATTGGTATTAGAGCAGCGTTGTTAAAAAAATTCAAAAATGGCCAACAACTATCCTCTTTTAACTATGTCTCGCTTCGATGGAGAGGAGTTCGATTATTGGAGCAAACTAATGAAATTGTGTCTTAACTCCCGAGATATATCGAGTGTTGTTTAAGAAGGCGTAGATCCTTCCTAAGAAAATCTCAATTGACCGAAGCACAAAAAACTCTTTTAAAGAGTAGAAGGCAAAACAATAGAAAAATTAACTCTTTACACGATTGAAATTTTGGTTTATGAAAGGATTTTCCACGCAAATAGTGGAAAAGAAGCATGGCCGGTTTAGGAAGGACTTTACTCTGGTCAAGATCAAGTAAAAAAATTTCGTTTGCAATCATTACAAGCGGGGTTTGAGAAGTTGGACATTGGAGAGTATGAAAAAATTTAGAATATTTTACGAGAGCAACATCTCTTGTAAATCAGATGGCATCAAATGGAGAAGTTACAGAGGAAAAGATTCATAGAGAAAGTTGTTCGTAACTTACCAACTAAATTTGATCATATGGTGGTAGCTACCGAAGAATCACAAGATCTAATTCACCAATGGTGTTGGAATGCTTAAAGGAAAGCAATAATTTTTCAAAGAAATCCTTCTACTTCTCGTGATCAAGCTTTGAAATCTAAATTTGCTTTCACTAGAAGCTGTGCTAGTAATCATGGATGCGATCAAAGAAAAAGTGGAAGTTGAAAACAATGTGTTAATTTCCTCTCAATTTGGATGTGATAAATGCTATTGGTGCTTATCACCAAATGCAACATGTTGATGGAGGAGATTAATATCCTCAAGATTCAATGCTGCTTTGGTGAAGAAAACAAGAAGTTCGAGAGATTTTTGTGAAGAAACTAAGAAGATGGATGCAACAAATCAAGAACTCTTCGCCTTTTTTGCTTACAAAGATCGGATTTCATATGAAGAAGCCTTGAAAGAGGAAAAAATGGATTCAAAAGGATGATTAGAATCGACCAAAAAGGAAAAAATGTTGCAAGCAAAATGATCAGAAGAACAAGATGAAGAAAAAGAAAAGAAATAAAGAAACTGCAAAAGTGGATGATGGTCATGAACATGTTCCACACTCTAATGAAGTTGGAGATGACGAAAAATCAAGAAAGTGGTATACGAGTTGTGTCTGTCGCAAAGGATCCCATTCTACACGAAAGAACAAATCCCATCCGTCCTCGTATTTATTTCCTAACGGTGCTTGTTGATTATGGTCAAATTAATGGCTCTTATCCAAGCCAAAAACAACTTGGTGATAATCTAGTTTGCTAAAAAGACTTTGATTTCTAGATTAATACAAGAGTTTAGACTAAAACATAGATCTATAGGTCTATTTAAATAGTATTAATAGTAGAAGTTTCATGTCTTTTTGAGTGGTAAAGATGTGAGTCTAGTCAAAGAATGCTAGGAAAATGCCAAAGCCAAAAAGCAAAAGAGAAATTACCCGTGAAATAGAAATCTTTTGCTTCTTCAAATATTCGATCCACGAGGTGTACGATAAAGTTGTCGAATACAACAAAAATTAGGGAACCTTTCGGTTAAACGTCATTACCGTCAACAAAGTTTAATTTTAACAATCGATAAATAGATGATATTAACTGAAGATTTGTCAAAAATGGAAATTTTGTTGTTGGTATGAGACATAGGAACGACAAATCTTGCAAAGTTGTGGGACTTAAGGGAGTATATATATTGTAAAAGATGTATATTGTTGATCAGTTAGGGTTGTTGCTCTTTTCATTTATCTTTGCACCCAACCTTTGGTTCCTATCATGACTTGTGTTCTTTAAGATGGGGTTGTTAAAAAAAGGGAAAACCGGAGAAATCGAATCGAATTACTTGCTTTGAAACCGGAAAAATCAGGTATTCACAGGTAGGTTTTGATATTAAATTAAAGGTACTTGTGGACTATATATATATATATATGTGTGTGTGTGTGTGTGCATATACATATGTATATATATGCAGACTTGGGATCATGTGAGATCAAACTGTTTTCGTGAGACCCGTGAGACCACTTTTTTACACTTGAAACTTCACAGCAAAATGTTGTGAAAGTAACCTTCACAATGTTTTTGCTGTGAAGGTTTGACTTCTTTTTACTTTTATAGCGTTTTGTTGTAAAGTTTCAAGTATAAAAAAATGGTTTCACGTATAAAAAAATGGTTTCACGGATCTCACGATAACAGATTGGCCTCACATGAACTCAACCCCTCCCCCCTCTCTCTCTCTCTCTATATATATATATATATGTATATTACAATTAAATATATTATATTTAACATCAAAAATTTATTTTATTCATCAACTTAAATTTAAAAGAATAAACATATTCTTTTTTTTTCTTGGTATGAAGTAATGAAGGAGTCGGCATCAATCAAATAATTGATGTTTTTAAACAATTAAACTTATTTTAATTTATAATGTATAGATTAATTTTAATTTGTTTCGTAATTTGTTTATAAATGTTTATTTCAGTATTATTTTTAAATTAAAAATCTTTTTTTTCCTAAATTTAGATAAATATGAACCAAACCGGGATAACCATCATAATTCGGTCAGTAAGGAACCTAGGGTTTGGTTTGGTTCGGGTATCCAAATACTTGCTTCATATGATTTGATTCACATAAGACGATCTCGTAGTTTTTGGTTTGTAATGATACGTTGTTAGATGCTCCATTTTATACATTTTTCCTATTAACTGAATCATGAAGCGTAAGCATCCCCTCTTTTATATAACTTAATAAACGGAGTTTCAACACACTCTAGAGAATTGAAGGCAATACTAATGGTCACATAATTACGTGATGATTAATTAATGAACTAATTAAGCCATCATCTTTGCATGCATTTCCATCTTATAGAATTGTCTGCTTACATTTCATTCCATCACACACCATAAGTTCTAGTTATATTTCAGTACAATAAAATTGAATTTATAAGACGTCATAAATTTATAAATATCATAATAGACTGTTTTATAAAACGTTACAAATACCTAAATGCGTTGCAGAAAGTTTATAGAACGTGTTTGGATGTCTCTTAATACTTCTTTTAGAATACTTTTGAAATAAATTGTCCTATTAGTATTTTTTTTGAAACACTTTTGAGAAGTGTCATAAAACAGATCCTTTTATATGATAATTTATCAAATAGTGTTGTATAAACAAACTAATAGGACGTTTTATCTCAAAGTTACGTGAAAATTGCAACATTTTTACATAGAACACATATATGTTTCATCCTATAAAGCAGTCTATTAGAATGCTTAATTAGAATGGACTTGTTTAGACATTTCCTATAATATTATGACTTCTGATAGGAGCTAGCTAGCTCTTCAAGACGTAGGACTAGGTTAGCAGATTCTATAGCATGGACGAGACGTGGAACAGTTAGAGGGTGAGACGGTGAGAGGGGTTGCATGGTGACGATGACGGTTTAGTTACCAGAGTGTCATCTTAATTTTTTCTATCTGTCATGTCTACTATTGTTGCTATGACAAGTTTGTTGTACACTAGTGTTAGCCTTTAATTTCTTCTTCTATTTGTAGTTGTCAACATAATATCGTGCTTCGTGTTTCCTTGTTTGTTTAACCTAATTCCCTCGTATTTGTCTCTAATGTATTTTATGTTTCCACACACTCCATTTGTAGCTTGTTTCCGTTAATTTTTGTTTTGGAAACCAGGTCGTGTACATCCTGCCCCATGTCTCTTGTCGATAATTAGTAACACTCTATTGCTAACACTACCTTCACTTTGTTACTCAATCATGAGCTATCAGTAATAGAACATAGATTGTTTCACTACAACAAAAATCTGGTTTACAGGACCCAAAAAAGATTTTAAGGGTCTTAATATACTGTTTTATAAACTTAAATTTATAGGATCAAACAATAAAACATCATATTTAAAAGTGTTACCATAGGTCTATAGGACGCTTTTAAGCATTTAAGAAGTTATATAAAGAGAGCTTAAAAATAAAGTATCTATTTTATACGCATCTTTTTATAATATTGTATTTATAAGACACATTTTCATATAGTGCCCTGTAAAAAGGCTAATACGACTTGTTAAGACGCCTAAAATGTGTTGACCCTTGTATTTATTCTAAAAAATGTCCTAAAAACTTGTTAAGACGTCTAAAAACAATCTATAAACTTATTGTAAAACTTTTAGATATGGCATTTTAGTTTTTGGTCTTATAACGTACGCTTACACAATTCTGGCATCCTATGAACTCAATTTTGTTGTCGTATTGTGTGTAATATGTTTGTGTTTGAGAAGAAAAAAGCATATTTTGTAAGTGGACAGATGCTTAAATGTTTGTTTGAACAGATGATAGTAAATGCGAGGTGACTGGTTCATCGGACGAAGAACAAGAAAACAGCGGTGGAGAAACGGAGCTTCCTGAAATTGATCCACGTGCTGAAGATCGAGAACTAAAGAATCACTTGTTGAGAAAGTATAGTGGTTATTTAAGTAGTCTCAAGCAAGAACTATCTAAGAAAAAGAAGAAAGGGAAGCTACCAAAAGAAGCCCGGCAAAAGCTTTTAAGCTGGTGGGAGTTGCACTACAAGTGGCCATATCCTTCGGTACGTGAAACTTAGATCACTACAAAGCAGTTTATTAGAACATTTAGATATTTTTGTCGTCCTATAAACCCGATTTTGTTGTAGTAACCCCTTATGAATGCTAACATATTTGTCAATGTTTCTATGCTACCACTACAACTACAACTACAACTACATTGGGTTTCCAAGAAGCCAATAATGATTAAATGTCCTAATAAGACTTATGTTTACATAACTAAACAATAAAACATCCAATTTAACAGTGTTACAATAAGTTTATAGGATGTTTTTTAGCGTCATCATGATCTCTTCTCTGGTCTGTTTATCTAATTTTAAAATAAAATCCCGTGTTAGCTATTTTATAAAAAACTTTTGACAAGTGTTTTATGAACAATTTTTTTAGAAGACACTTGTTTTTATAAAAAATGATCTATAATTTTTTTAGAAGACACTTGTTTTTATAAAAAATGATCTATAAAATAGCTAATACGACACTTTATTTCAAAAATGTCCTAAAAAACTTCATAAAACACCCAAAAACGTTCTATAAACTTATTATAACAATTTTAGACAGGACGCCATATTGTTTGGTGATATAAAGTCACTACTATAAAACAATCTATTAGGATACTTAAGCATTTTTGACGTACTATAAACCCTAGTTTGTTGCGGTGGTGAATGAATGTATAAAGGTTCTTTTGTTAATTATGATGATACAGGAGTCAGAGAAGGTAGCATTGGCAGAAGCAACAGGTTTGGACCAGAAACAGATAAACAATTGGTTCATCAACCAAAGGAAGAGACACTGGAAACCTTCTGAGGATATGCAATTTATGGTGATGGATGGGCTTCATCCACAAAATGCTGCTGCTGCTACTGCTCTCTATATGGAAGGCCATTACATGGGTGAAGGTCCTTACAGATTAGGGCCCTGATGACCAATTAAGGTCTACACCTTTCATATATATATATATTTGTGGCTTGGTGATCCTATATATGAAATGGGTATCTCATAATTTGTGCATCCCTTATCTATCATCATTTTATAATTTAGTCATGGTGTTGGAAAACCCTTATGCATGAGGAACTGCATGTATGCATGGGATCATCCAAAGTGTCATACTCTCCTATATATCTGCAGCCTGCATATATATATATATATATATATATATATATATTTGTTTCTTTTCCAATAATTTCATGCATGTATTAGCTAGCTAGGATGATGTTTTGAATTGTGTAAATTATTTTGTACAAGGATATATAATAATTAAAAGTTGTGTTTATTGATAACTTGGTTTTAAGTTTTGTTGGAATTCATGGAGATAAGGTTAAGATCAACTTTTTTTGCAGCTTGGTCTTTTTGTTTTTGGGAAGTGATACACCAGCTGCCCCTGAAGGGGTGTGAATGTAGCAGTGGTTAGCCAGGAACATCCAAGATGGTCCACCGGGGTGTTTGGGATTGCTTGTAAAAACAACTTATTGACTTATTCTAGTGTGATACCGGTAAAAAGCATTTTTGAGTGTTTGGATAAACAACTTATACCGGTGTCAAACTGGTAATAAGGAGTTTTTGAAGAAGTTAAACCATTCTTACTTATAATAAGTTGATAAGGACTTTTACAGAAAAGCATGAGTTGTTTCAAATAAGCAATCCCAAACAACCCCTAAGTATGATTTTATGTGTGATAACATCTACTATACTTGAAATATCAATAAATTTGATTATTGCTATTGATCAAGATACCTTTTTTTAGTTTCTAGGGTCTACTTCTTGGTTAGAAGATCGATTATCTTACGAATAAATGAATTAGTAGATTTCTTCTGTCCAAATTAATGGTAATTGGCTCGGTTATGAACTTGTAATTTCATATATGATCCTATGATAGAGTCGATTCTATGATTATAAGTTTCTTTCATACCGGACTCGACAGGAATAGGGTTATATGTATTCTCATTATGGGAAGGGGTCATTTGAGCGTATCTAAACAGATACCATGTTTACATATGGATCTTTACGTCATTACATTCCATTTAAGATTAGGAATATTAGGTGTAAATGGATCTGCGAGGGTCTAATTAAGCAACCCATGTTTTTGACATGATGATTATGTGGTTCGGTGATACCTATTTTAGTTAGTTGGTTATTCATTTTTATGAGGAAGATAAGTATTGTTATTAGGGTGTGTTTATCTTATCGCCATTCTTAAAGAGCGCTAAGTATTTTATAGTCGCAAATGTTATTCGTTGAGGTTATTGAAGAAAAACCCTCTCCTTCTCTATGTTTTCTTCTATTTAGTTGTTGTAGTCTACACTCGCTCAAAGAGTGTGGGTTGGAATAAGCCTTGATCGTAACAAGTTGGTTCTTTCATCGAGAGTGTTTACTATTGATGGTTGGGATTGGGCCTTTCTAAATTGCTACACGAGGAGGAACGGTGACGGAGTACTGGTTGGTCTTTGAGATTGTTACTCATCATGTTCAAATTGTTACTGATTTCGATAATGTTCGAATCGTTACTGATTACAATGTGTTGATTTTGAATTCATTGGTCAACCATAGAAATCCCGAGTTCATTACAATATTATAGGGTCCAATCGACATTAGTGAAGTACATGTATTAACTGATAGCTAGTGGTAGCAACCATAACTTTGTGCAACGATTAAACATAGTGTGTTACTGTGTTAGATTGTAAAATGATGTATAAAGTTTAAACCCGTCCAACTTAACCCAACCAACACGATTTGGGTGGGACTAGGTTGTACTTTTATTTGGGTTAGGTTGGGTTGGTTTGAGTTTTTTCAAACTGCAAATATTAGGTTGAGTTGTTCAAATGTTTTCAACCGACTAATCTAACTCATGTGCAACCCTACTTGGAGAGACAGTGGTTACAGAAGTTGGGCAAGGCAACCTATGATTATACTAAACAATCCATGGAATTTAAGTTGCATAGGAAGAAACAAATGCTTAAAGGGGATGATACCTTGAAAATAAAGAAAATAAGTCTCGATCAGATACAGTTGTTAACAGACAGTGATAACGTATATGATATATGTGAGTTGTATTATGTAACATCTTATATTTTACGGATTTATTTATCTCATATGTATTATTAGAAATGAAAAAAAATACTTATGTTGTCATAACGCAAACGTAAATGTTATTATAACAATATATAATAATAAAAAAGAGTTTTTTAATGATAAAAGAAGTGGTTTCGAGGATTGAAAAACTACACCATTTTGTAGAATAATTCCTATTTACGACATTTTTATATTATAATATAGATTAAAATACAAGGATTACATTATGTATTAGGAGATATTTATAAGGTTTAAAAGCAATATTACAATGAAAGAGGGTATTGAGTGGCCTTTAAAATCAATACTTAAGGGTTGTTTTCCAAACACTTACCCGGTAAGTGTTTACGGGTAAAATTTAACACTATTATTTACTTATCGGATAAGATTTTGGTCCACCAAAATGACATTGTATGGAACAATTTACCCGGGTAAGCGTTTACCGTGGTAAGAGTTGTTTCCCCTCACTTACCGGATAAGACTCTTGGTCTTTGTCTCGTTCTTACCAAGTAAGATTCTTGGTATTTACCATAATCATCCGGTGAGGTTAACCACTTACCTAGGTTAGTGTTTGGTAAACAGCTACTTACATTTCAAATGTTGGGATGGAAGGACACTTTTGAAAGGGTGGTTATAAAATTGGTTTCTTCAAAAGCATTTGTTTTTGGGAAAGAAGACTCAGAGTTTTTCCATTATCAGGCTCTTTATTCATCTTCATATATAGAAGGATCATAGATACATAAGTACATGGATTACATAGCTAATTATAAGGGGAAACATAATAGGTAAAGATATTGTCTAACACGCTCTGTCGTCGAAGCCGGAGGACAATGGATGCTCATATTGGAGCGAAAATCCATTGATAAGAGGTTGAGGCAGTCCTTTGGTGAAGATGTTTGCATATTGATAAGTGGAAGGCACATGGAGCACACGAACATGACCAAGGGCTACTTTTTCACGAACAAAGTGAATATCCATCTCCACGTGTTTTGTGCATTGATGTTGTACAGTATTATGAGATATATAGATTGTGATGATGTTGTCACAATAGACAATTGTGGCCATATGTAGTGAGCACTGCAATTCAAGGAGTAGAATGTGAATCCAACATGACTCGACAACGTTGGTGACCCACGATATTCAGCCTCTACAGTGGAGCGTGATAGGGAACCTTGTCGTTTAGAGGACCGAGATATGAGATTATCTCCAAGAAATACACAATAGCCATATGTTGATCGTCATGTATCTTGACAACAACCCCAATCAGCATCAGGGTAAGAAACAAGCTCGGTTGTTAAAGCATGAAATAAATGCATGCCACAATCTCTTGTGCCCTTGAGGTAGCACAAAATACGTTTCAAAACATGTAGATGCATTTCACGAGGATCGTGCATGAATAGACAAAAAAATTCACGACATAGGAGATACCAGGTCTCATGAATGTCAAATATTGAAGAGCGTTGGCAAGCTTACAATTCAATATGGGGTTTGCGATTTTGAGGTAACTATTTGCGTCGAGTTTGGATTTGGTATCCATAGGAGTGGCAACAGCTTTACAAGACGATATATCGGCCCAAGTTATTATTTCTTGTGCATACTTTACTTGACATAGGAACATATGGTGTTTGGCGTGTGTCACAAATATACCAATAAAGTATGAGAATGGTCCCAAATATATTATATTGCAAACTCGGAGCGAAACAATGAAATGATGCGATCCCTGAGAGAGTTAGAAGAAGCAGCTACAGCAATGTCATCAACATATAAAAGAAGGTATGTTGTAATAGACAAATAGGGAGGGATCACACTTGTTGTTCACAAATCCTATAAAGAGAAGATCCATGGCAAATTGTTGATACCAAGCCCGAGGGGCTTGCTTTAGCCCAAAAAAGAGATTTTCGGAAAAGGCACACATGCTTAGTATTTTTGGAATCCAAGAATCCGAGAGGGGGTTGATGCATGTAGACGGTCTCGTGGAGGTGTCCATGGAGGAATGCATTTTTGACATCTAGTTGGTGATAGGCCATTGGTGAGAGATGAGTAAACTAAGCATTATATGAATAGTAAAGCTTAACCATCGAGCTAAACATTTCATCATAATCAACATCGACCTCTTAACCTTTTCCATTAACTACAAGTCGACCTGTATGCCTTTCAAGAGAACAATCGGACCAGAATTTGTGCTTGAATAGCCACATACAATAAATGACATGGCATAAGATTATGAATCTTTTTGGTAGAAAGATTGAGGCAACGACACCCATGGTAATTAGAAGGAAACCCAAGAAATACAAGGGGAAGAGCGATGAGTAAACTTGTTAGGAATAAGCAACCAAAAATGCGTAGGTGGTCATATGTGGGTGTTTTGTTGTATAAAACTTGCATAGTGAGAAATGTAGTGCAGAAGTCGTTTGGGTCGAATATTGAGGAAGTATATTGCCATATGTAACGCTTGGACCCAAAAGGAGGGATGGAAAGAGGAGATTACGGGCAACATAATTAATTGTTTAGTAAGTGAATCATGTGGTCCGTTATGTTGTTTTGAGGTGAGGTGTAAGGACAAGAATGTCGGAATGTATTAGAACGGGGGACTTTATAAAGTCTTTGCAAATGTCTTGAACAAAGCTCTTCTAGCGGTAGCTTGTGTTCTTGTAACTTGAGAGGCGTTCAACGGTAGGTGGATGTAATCTGATCATGTTCGATTATAATCAGTTGTGTTCTTTGCTCAAATGCTCTCGATATTTTATAATGTCTTGTGTAACAGTTGATAACTGTTGGATATAAATGCTCTTTAGTGAAATAACGGTTGTATCATAATGATGAACGTTTACTTCGACCGTTAGTTAGCTTCAGTTCATTGATGAAATAGATCTTCAATGATTGTGTATTATGACCTGCATTAAATAGAAAAGATAACGGTTGTAGAGGGAAAAATGTATGTTAGTAATAATCCAAGACAAACCAACGTCATAGTTAGTTAAAGGAAATATTATGTCAATGATATAAACCACTGTTGGTCGCTTGTCGTGGATATCTTGGTCATCTCGATAATCAACGATCAAGTTGAAATCAACATTGGGTTGATCAGGTTGGTCGGGTTTTTTGAACATCCTTAGCTCCTAAGGCTTTAGGTTTGGGCTCATCTCCACTCCACGTCTCATGCTATATAGAACCTTGATATTAAATAATACGTAAAATCAATTTTTGTGGAAAGTACAAAGGGGATTTAAGAAATGTCACGCCATTAATATGTTACATGTCGACATCATACATGGACGATAACATGACATGAAAACCTAATAACCTACGTCATTTTATATTAATTTAAATTTAAAACCTTGCTCATTGCTATTAACGAGTACATTTTTTCAAAATACAATATCTTAATAAAAAATAATTGTACAATAATATAATATTAAAATTTGTTAATAAGAATTTTATTTATTTTAAATAAAACTTTAAAAAAATATTAAATGAAAGTGACGAAAAACCGCTATTGGCGCCTCCGAAATAACGGGCGATTTTCCAGAACCAAAGTTCTAGAAGGTTAAATTGCGGTTTTCCAGATCCAATAAATTTACATAAATAGCCCTTTATCTTTGATTCACTTTCACAAACCATACCATAAACTTCTATTGTACAACAAAATTACCGTCTTATACAATACATCACACGTGGGATTTGTTACTGTATTTATGGTACAACGCTATAGTTTTAATAAATAAATAAAAAGATTTACTTCTTAACGATTCAAAAATTGTATCTTAATGAAACTATTAAGAATTAAACAAACAATCCTTAAGTTATTAGATGGACTAATTAATTTAAGTTGGTCCCATGCACCATTAAAAGACGTTTGGTACATGTTGATATGGTTTTGTACCAACAAAAAGTTGAAGTTACCAATGAATCCGATGAACGTGATGTCTTTTTATACTACGGATTAATATGGTTGTCAAGTTCTTGATTAATATATGTACATTAAACATTAGACCAACCAGTAATTAGTTATATTCAAAATTATATTACAACTTCAACTGTAAATTTACTTTTTTATTTGCATGAAATTATAACCTTTTTTTAGTCTATTATTAGCCTTTTTAAATGTTCTCATTTTGATTTTATTTCGTTTAAACAAAACATTTATTTGGTAAGTGCTTAACTCATAAATTTCCTCATCGGATAAACATGAGAAGAGCCAGGAATCTTACCGGGTAACAGCGATGAGAAGGATGGAGAATCTTACCCGGTAAGAGTGGTGCGAAGGATTGAGAGTCTTACCCGGTAAGAGTGGTGCGAAGGATTGAGAGTCTTACCCGGTAAGAGTGGTGCGAAGGATTGAGAGTCTTACCCGGTAAGTGAGGATGACGACTCTTACCCAGGTAAGCGCTTAGCTAGTAAATTGTTGCATTCGATATTTTTCGATGTACTAAAATCTTACGCATTTAAATAAATTATAGTGTTGACTCATATTGGTAAACGCTTACCGGATAAGCATTTTGCAAACGGCCCCTTAATTAAATTATAAAATGATGTACCAACGATTCAACCCGACCAACCCAACCTACCTTGGACAGTTTAGGTTGGGTTATAGTTTTGATTGGATTAGATTGAATTGAGATTTTTCAAATCATAAACATTAGGTTAAGTTATTCAAACGTCTTTAATTCGATGTTTGTGTACCTCTTAATAGTTCCATTAAGAGACAACCTCTGAATCGCTAAGAGATGAATCTTGTTTGGCAAAAAATAGTCCGCCTCTCAATGATTTTTAAACCTTCTGAATGATTTTGTATCATGAGTCCTTCTTAACCATTCAGCATTCTAATTTCATTGTAAATAATTATATATTTCATTTTGTAATATATCATAAGAATCTCTTAATCATTCTGATCATTTAATTATTTAAGAGAGATGTAAAAACCTTACCGAATGATTTGTGGTTTGAGGAGAGGGTGTGCAACCATGCAAAACTTGAAGGTTATTAATTAATGCTAATAGACGTATCCCTTCCACGTGTCCAACTGTCATAGAACACTCGCACATTACGATTTTCTTGCAAATCACTTGTCATGGTGCTTGATAATCACAATTATTCTCCAAATATTTCTGTGGTTCATCTTTTCGGGATTTCGCTTTTGAATCAACGACGAAAAAATCAGAGAAAAGAAGACGCAAATCCTTCAAACCATTTCTGTATGTTATCACAATTTCTCTCCTATAATTTCTTATTCATAGACACAATCGAATGTTGAATTCGTTGTTCTTCGTTCTCATTTCAAGTTAAAGCAACGCCAGAAAGGGGAAAGCTGAAATCACTATTGACGAATTTCTTACATCTTCTTATTGTTCTTCCAACTGCAAGTATTCGATAACTTCCTAACAGGTATATCCATCGATTTCGTTTAGAAATTCTGTTTTCTTTGATTTCAATAGAATGGTTCATAAGTTTGAATCATGATGGTAAGCAATTCTTCAATGGAATGAGTTGGAAGATTTTCTGACATTGTTGATGATGATCGTTTTCCTAACTTTGTTTTTTAGCCCTAATTTTAATTATGCTTAATTTGGGCGACTTTGTTTACTAGTTTGGATGGCTTTGTTTTGTTCTTCTCTTTCATGATGCATATAATAAGGTCAACATTGTGTACAGATTCTGCTCTTTTGATGTTGGTTTTAATTGAAGATCATTTGATATGTGCAATTATGCAAACATTATTTGAAGGGGGAATAACCAAATGAGAATATGGAAAAGGAAAAAAAAAGGTTAGAACCGGTCATCATGTGTTGTTTCATATTGTGAAATAATGCATGGATGTTTCACAATGTGTATTCATTGTTTCACAAACACATGATCAAGAGGCGAACCAAAAAAAGAAGCTTCATGTGTGGTACAATTTCACTATAAAAACAAATTTGTAGAAAATATTTCACAGTATTTGTATAGATTGGCTAGTTGGTTCGTTGTCCTTGCATAAAATCGACCGATGTTCGAGTCCTGCCTATAATTTTTTTCTAAACATAAGAGGTGTACAAAAAAAACACCTAAATTTAAGCTGAAAACTTGGAAATTTGACAAAAGTGGTACTTGCACCCGGGGTTTTTGTACAAATTGAGCAACATTTGCTAACTCCACCATCAAAGACTTGCACCATGTAGCGGTGGCCATGCCACCGTATCATACTTTGTAGGTCCGTCCTTGCATATGATCACCTGTTCTCATGGTTTTCAACTTTTTTATGGTTCTCGTTTGATTATGCCCCTGTTATCGAATATCATAACTTAAAGAATGTTAGGTAACGAATATTATCTTCTGGATGTTGCAGGCGTGAAGCTTATCAGAAATCGAAGGGGAGGGGTCTTTTTGTAGAAAGTGTGTTTATTAAGGCGTTAACGGGTGGGTTTTAGGTAGTATAATTAGGTTTTCTGTTTGCGAATGCAGCAAGGTTGGAGATAGGGGGTGAAATAAGATGGACATACCAGCTTTATTGACTTCGGCTGGTATGAACATAGGCATTTCCGTGGGTATGTTCTCATTATATTCAATATTGAGAAAACAACCACTCAATGTAAAAGTTTACTTTGGCCAAAGGGTTTCTCAGGGTAGAACACGAAATGAAACTTTATGTTTCGAGAGATTTGTTCCTTCTGCAAGTTGGATTTTAAAAGCTTGGGAAGCAACGGAAGAAGACATATTTGCTTCCGGGGGTATAGATGCAGTCGTGTTTCTCAGGATTGTTATTTTTAGGCGAGTTTATAAATGCTTATATATATACACGCATATGATTACAAGAAAATCGGTATATCTAAATGTCTAATAGACTGTTTTATAGGACTAAACTATTGTGCATCCTATATAAGGTGTTACAATAGGATGTGATGACATATTTGTGCATCCTAACAAGTTTGTAGGACATTTTGATGTCTTATTAGCGTTTGAATAGGACACTTGTACTTTTGAGAAGTGTTCTGTGAACATCCACTACAACAAAATTGGGTTTATAGAACGTCTAAATTGTTTAAGTATTCTGATAGAGTGCTTTATAGGACGAATGAATAAAATATCATATCTAAAAGTGTTACAATATGTTTATATGACACTTTTTGGCGTTGTGACAAGTTTTCTACGACTTTTTAAAATAAAGTGTCGTAATAGCTATTTTACAAGACACCTTTGAGAAATATCTTATAAACTCTTCTATTTATAAGACTCTATTTCAAATATTGTCATGTAAAATAGCTAATACGACAGTTTATTTAAAGAATGTCCTAAAAAACTTGTTACGACACTTGAAAGCGTCCTAATAAACTTATTGTAACACTTTTAGATAGACGCTTTATATTTTTGGTCCTATGAAGCACTCTATTAGGACACACACTTAAACACTTTAACGTCCTATAAACTCAAATTTGTTAGAGTGACCTCTTTTTACATGACACTTGTTTCTATAAGACTATGTTTCAAATAATGTGATATAAAAAGAGTGGTAAGAACTCTTTGTTTCAAAATTTTCCTAAAAAAACTTGTTATGACGCCCAAAAGCATTGTATTTACTTATTATAACACATTTATATAGGATGCTACTCGCAACTGTTTGGTCCTATAAACTTAATCGATCAGTGAGGACACTTAGACAGGCATCCGTTTGTGGGTTTGTCTTTAATATAGTTTTGTTGGCTTTGCAGTATCCGTATTTTCTCGATTGCTGCTATACTTTGCACCTTTCTTGTTCTTCCATTAAATTATTTTGGGCAAGGGATGGAAAGGGTGATTGATTCTAATGCGATGGACTTACTGACCATTGGGAATGTAAGGGAAGGTTCAAGCTGGTATGCAATGTTTGTTTATTTTTCTTATAAAAAAATTAGATATTAATTGCTTCAGTTATCTTAAATCTCTTCCTTTTATCAGGCTCTGGGCTCACTGCTTCACTCTGTATATTATATCTGGTTGTGCTTGCACTCTTCTATACTATGTAAGAAGGATGTAATTACTTATATATACATATATATATATATATATTAGGAACTCGAGATCCGTTTACAGCGGGACATGTGGCATATTCATTTTTAATATGGACGTGTTATTCATGATGAATAAAAACGGTCCATATTCATCATGAATGTATGATTCATGATGAATAATACTTTCATATACATACCAAAGAGGGAGACGTGGCGTAAAGTGGACGGTCCCCAGTTGGAAGTTAAGGATTAAATAGTTTTATATTTGATAGGAGTATAAAAACGTGGCAAGAATGAGACTGGAGCAAGTAAATAGGTTTCCAGCAAGGCCAAGTAACTTCACAGTTCTTGTGCGTGGCGTCCCGTGGTGTGCAGTGGAATCATACAATGAGTCTGTTGGGAAATTCTTTGGCAATTATTATGCATCAAGTTACATAGCCCACCAAATAGTTTATCGATCTGGTGCAGTTCAGACAATACTGGTAAGCATAATATATATATATATATATATACACACACACACATCTTTTTTCAATATATAATGTTTTTCATGCAATGTTTGTATAGCTTGTTCCAGGATTTAAGCCAACACTATAACAAAATCGGGTTTATAAGATGTCAAAAATGTCTAAGTGTATTAATAGATTGATCAATAGGACCAAACAATTACGGCGTAATGTGTAAAAGGATTGCAATAAGTTTTTAAACTTGTTAAGATGCCCAAAAGCGTCGTATAAACTTATTACAATACTTTTATATAAGATAGATACTTGTTTAAGTCCTATAAAGCAATAAAGTTTTTAACTATTTTTGGATTTTTCACTTTCAGGAGGATGCAGAGATGATGTATAATTTGGTAACAGCTGCTCCAGCTAAGCCATGCTGCGAACCAAATGCTGACAGGTGTGGGATTTGTGGTGAAAGATCGAACTCATTCAAAGCGACTTCCAGTGAATCAGAAACTGAGACAAAAAATCATAGAATTGAAAATGAACTGAGAGAAAAGGTCAGAATTAGTCTGCTTGTTAGTTCATCTTGTTTAATTGATTACAGTTTTTGAATAAAAGTTCCGATTTTAATGCAGGAGTGTGAAGCTGCATTGGTGTTTTTCAGGAATCGATATGATGCATTGGTGGTGTCACATACTATCCAATCGGCAGACCCGATGTTATGGGTCACTGAATTGGCTCCAGAACCGAAAGACGTCTTCTGGCAAAACCTTTGTGTTCCTTTTAATTTGCTATGGATCCGTAAAATATCTGTTTTTATCGCATCCATCATCTTCAGTGTGTTGTTTCTATTGCCTACAACATTTGTTCAAGGTCTCATGAAACTTGAGTATCTGCAGTCTGTATTTCCATGGCTAAGAGGGCTATCAAGAAGGTTTGTATCTAATATATTCTATAAGATTGAGGTGCATGGAAAAACTGAAGAGCACCCTAATAATGATTCATCAGTATCGTATGCACCTGTTCATAATTGAAGATGTTTCTTGGTTTCTATGCATGTGTGCATAGCGGACAAATTACTTGTATGAAAATGTGCATACTTTACAGATAAATGGTTATTAGGGTGTTCCTCATTTTTTTTCCTTTTTATTGTCGTTTTCCTCTTAACCTAACCAAGAGAAACAACTTCAATTACTTGTATACACATGTGCATACTGTCCAGATGAATGGTTGTCAGGGTATTCCTTAGTTTTTTAGTTTTTTGGGGGGTTTTCCTTTAACCTTAAAGTATTGTTTCACATGGTTTTTTTTCATCTATGGTTAGGATTTAAGGTATTGGTTAACATATATTTGTTTCATATGTATTTGGTTCACAATTTGAAACTTTTTTACGTGTAGTTTTTGTTTCACAAACACGTAAAAAGAGTTTCCCATGTGAAACAAATTTATGTTTAATCAATATCCTAAATCCTAGTCATTTGATGAAGAAAATTGATATGAAATAACACAGGATGTTCTTACAGTTTTGTGGGTTCTCAAATGATTAGCCCCCTATGTAAGTATCTATAGAATTTGAATACAATGCGTTGGTTTCAGGAGTTATTATGTTAACCTTATTACCGGGTATCTACCAAGTTTGGTGTTGACGGTGTTTCTTATCATTGTTCCACCCACGATGATGCTATTTTCGACACTAGAGGGAGCCGTCTCTCGGAGTACAAGGAAAAGGAGTGCATGTGTGAAGGTCCTAATCTTCATGTTTTGGAATGTTTACTTCTCTAACATTCTTTCGGGTTCTTGGATTGAGCGAATGGGTAAGCTTACAGTTACAAGTCCTAGAGACCTGTGTACCCTACTTGCCGAATTGATACCCAGACAGGTAAATCATCCTCTCACTACAGTACGCCAAAAATGTCTAAACAGACTGTTTTATATGACTTATGTTTATAGAACCAAACAATTAGTTATACGTTCTATGTAAAAATGTTACAATAAGGTGTGTTAGCAAGTGTCCTATAAACTTATTGTAACACTTTTACATAGGGCACACATCATATAAACTAAATGGCATTGATCCTATGAAACACTTTATTAGGCCATTTTAGACGTCTTACAAACCTGATTATATTTTAGTGTCATTCATTAATGAATAATAATGTTTGTTGTTTTGGCAGGCATCCTTCTTTATGACATATGTAATGACATCCGGTTGGTCAGGTTTGGGATGTGAATTGTTGCAGCCAGTTGGGCTACTCGGCAATTGGCTTTTTAAATGCGTTCTCCGGAAGGAAGAGGAGTTTTGTCGTCCTGTTACTTTTTCATACCATACCGAGGTTTCAAGGGTGCTTCTATTTGGACTCCTCGGGTTCACCTTCTGCATTTTGGCACCCTTGATATTGCCTTTCTTGCTTGTCTACTTTTTCTTTGCTTTTCTTGTATACAGAAATCAGGTAACTTCAATAATCAATCATACTAATGGTTATGTTCATTTCACTACAACAAAATCTTTAAGTGTCCTGATACGTTATTTTATAGGACCAAACAATTGTATGTCTTGTATAAAAGTGTTATAAATTTATAAGGCCCTTTTGGACGTCTTAAATAATTTTTAGGACACTTTTAAATTAGCGTTTTCATATGACAGCATAATTGTTTGATACTTTAAAGCAATCTGTTAGGACAGTTAGATGTTTTTGGCATCCCATAAACCCCATTTTGGTACCTAATAGAATATATTTTGATTGCAGATCATGAATGTATATTTTGTGAAATACCAAACAGATGGAAGTTATTGGCCTCTTGCACATAATGCCACAATCTTTTCTTTGATACTAACACAAGTAGTAGCTGCAGTACTCTTTGGAATGAAGAAGTCCAGCAGTGCTTCAACCTCCACCATCCCTTTGATCATTCTCACCGCCCTTTTCAACGTATTCTGCAAGAACAGATTTCTACCCGTTTTTAAGAACCGAGCAGCACAAGTACAAATGATCAAACACGCTTATCTTTCTTATCTCACTTGCTTCTTCTATTGTGTGTTGTTGTTGTTGTTGATGTGTGTGTGTGTGTGTGCAGGTTCTTATTGAGATGGATCGTGATGATGAACGATCTGGGAAACTAGAAGCGATTCTCGAGAAACTGACTACGTCCTATAATCAGTTTGAATTATGTGGTGTTGAGCCGCCAGGAAAAGAAGAGCAGCCGAAAAAGGGTAGCAATGAAAGTCTTAAAGACTTGGCGATCGTGAAAACAGGTAGTCCATCAGCAGCGGTGGTGGTGAAAGCCGGTAGTCCGTCAGCGGAGGTGGTGGTGAATGGCGGTAGTCCGACTGCAGAGGTGGTGGTGAAATCCGACAGTCCGTCAGCAGAGCTACCACCTCCACCACCACCTCCACCTCCACCTGAACTGGAGCCTGAACCAAATATAGTATCCATCAAGTAAGGGGTATGGGGGAAAGCCTTGTTGTACACAAGATATAAGCACCTCTAGATTGTATATGTATATGTTGTATATATATACCCCTCAAAACACACAATTGTGCTTTCAATTTGTGTCTTTTGAGGTAGAAATGTATGTTAGGATTCACTTTTTTTATTACCCATGTTTATGTCATTTGCATCCATACAACTATATTCAATTACCTTAGCTTTTGTTCCATAATTCATGTTTTATGTTTTACTTGAAATAACAATGATTTTTTTAAATTACTGGTCGCTACTTTAGATTTGAATTGAAGTTGTTCATTTTGAAGAGAATTAGACGAAAATGATGTCGAAATTGTGATACCGGGTTCTCGATCTGAAGGCTAGGTTGTGAACCCATTTAGTAATTGCCGTGAAATCATGAGGGCTTCTTATCGTTTCTGTGACGTGGACTTCTAGTGCAGTGCGAAAACTTGATGTGTTTCCGGAGGATTTTCTAGACCGGGCGACTTTCGTGATTATTGTAATTGATATGGTAAGCATTTTGTTGTAACCTACTAGTTAAATATAATACATCATCGTAAGTTTCATCGGGAGGGCGTGCACGGTAGTAAGTGTTAGTTTACATGAGCCACAAACCGATGGTTAAACTGAACTGGACATTAACCCGATTGCTTAGAACTGTCACTCTAAAGAATATGAAAAATTGGGAAGATTGCTTGCCCTTCGTTGAGTTTGCCTATAATAGGAATGTTAACTCATCTACCAAGTTCTCCTTTTGAATTGGTTTGTCGTTTAAATCCGTCAACTCCTTTAAATTTAGGGGTCGTTTACTAAACGCTTACTCGTTCCTTATTGAATGAACATGGTCAGGACCGAGAATCTTACCCGATAGGAGCGATGATAAGGATGAAGTCTTACCCAGCAAGTGAGGGTGACGACTTTTACCCTGCTTACCGGGTAAATTGTTACATACGATACTGTCTTGATGTACTACTATCTTACCCAGTAAAATAAATTATAGTATAAACTCCTACCGGTAAACATTTACCGGGTAAGTATTTAGGTAAACATCCCCTTAGTGTTGTTACCCATAAATGAGAGAGTCAGGGTGCTTAACGAGACTCGTAGTTTATTCAGTCAGCTGGCAGCTATACATGACTGTTTGGTAGTGACTTTTTTTTTTTTTGATTAACCTGGATATCCAACCCGCTATGCGAGCCGACTAATCCCAGGGCGACCACCTGCCTTGCAGATAGCCCGGAGTCACCGCTTTCGTGGCCACAAGGGGATTTTTATTCCTCGTTGGATTTGAACCTGAGACCTCCTGGTACTTTTGACATTTGGAGCCAAGCTCAACCCAATCAGGCATCACCTCCTGTTTGGTAGTGACTTAATGATACAGAAAATGGTTATTCATTTCGCTTCCAAGGGAAGCTTTATGCAGAAAGTCAAAAAAAATTCCAAAAACGCCCCTTCCAATTAAAAGACACACTCCTTTCATCTATAAAAAAACCCTCCCAATTTATATAGAGAGATTAATCCATGCAGTCAACTTTATCCAAACAGGACTTAACAAAAAACTTATGGGGTGTTTGGTTCACATAATGGAATTTGATGAAATTGGAATCCAAAGGAATTTGACTTTGAAGGAATTGGAATGGAAATTGATGGAATTTGACCATGTATTTGGTTGGTAGGAATTGGAATGAAATCTCCCAATAGAATTGGAACAATCGTCTTTGTTTGGACCATCCCACATATCGCCCCACCCACACCCTACCAACCATTATGTCACTACT